ATGTCGACTTGAAACCCCCCACTTTACCCACTTGGTGCTGTTTAGAGTCCTTGCTTTCAAGAGTTTTACAACTCTCCTATTTAACATATACTGGTCAAGATAATGTTTTGCCCTGATCCAAAGAAGAAGAAAGTTGTGAAGCATTGAGTTTGAAGTCATTACCAGATAGAATTATTACTCTCTCTTAGAATCATAGATTTTTACAAGACAGAAGGCCTCTCGTGTCATACCAGCTCCCAAAAGAGCTACCCAGTTAGTCCCAATCTCCAGTCCTATTTCCATAGCCCTCTAAACTCATCACTTTTTTGAAAAGATATCCAGCTGTCTTTCGAAACCTCTTGTGGAATCCACCTCCTCCACTCTCCTGGGCAGTGCATTCCAAATCCTTACAATACTCTGAGTAAAGAAGTTTCTCCTTGTCTCACTCCTGGCTCTCTTGATGGCAATCTTGAAATTGTGACCCCTAGTTACTGATGTACCAACTACTGGAACCAGAATATCCTCCATTACCCTGTCGAAATTGTTCATAATTTTAAACATTTCAATAATATCTCTTGATCTTCTCTGCTCCATGGAGAATCAGTCTAATTTCTTTAATCTTTCCTTGTGTCTGAAATCCCTCTTTCCTGGTAACGTTACAAAGAACAAACAATAGTACAGCATACGAACAGGCACTTCAGCCCACTATACATGAGCTGACACATGACTTCCTAAACTTAAAAACTTTGCGCCTATGCAGTCCATATCCTGCTATTCCTTGCCTATTCAGATATCTTAAAAGTTGCTATTCTCTCCTCCACTTCTGGCAGTGCATTTCAGGCACTTACAATCCTCTGTATTTTAAAAAAAACACAACTTGCCCCTCACATCTTTAAACTTGCCCCCTTGTACCTTAAATCTATGTCCAAGTGATTGACATTCCTAACCTGGGAAAAACACTCTGACCATCCATGCCTCTCATCATTTAGTAAACTTGTATCAGGTCGCTCCTCATCCTTCGGCGTTCAAGTGAAATCTAGTAAATTTCCTTTGCACTCTCTCCAGGGCTTGGATACAGTGGAAATACTTCTCAGCTGGGAGACAATTCAGAGCTCCTTTAGTGTTGTGAATGTGGATAATGCTTAACTTGAATAGAGAGAAAGATAAGATTATTCCTTTTCTCCTTCAGGGTATCAATTCAAAAATTGGGACAAATTCCAGAGTGAAAGTACAATAGACACTTCTTAATACTGCTGTATTTTAAGAATGATGTAAATACAGTGATATCAAGGCTTTGTCAGCTCACTGTTTTGAGGGAGTCATTAAAAAGTGCAGGTTATAACCTGCGTTTTGTTCTTAAGACCCCCTGCACAGTGCAGATAAAGGAAATTACAATCTATTCAAGGTTTCATTTTCATTTTCAATGCACTGCTCAGCGACAAACACAAATAACTTCATCCTCAGGGAAGCATTTTCTTTGTGTATTGGAATCTTTCTTTATTAATTCAGTTTACGTCTGTGTATGAATTGCAGTGCATCGTCTTAAAGCAGTGTTTGGACACCTGAAAGTAAGAGAATGCAATTTTATTCATTCTTGGGTATCATGGGCCAGGTTAGCATTTATTGCCCACCCCTAACTTCCCAGAGGGCAGGTCAATATCACTCACATTGCTGTGGGTCTGGAGTCACATGTAGGCCAGGTCAGGTAAGGACGACAGATTTCCATCTTTAAAAGACATTAGTGAACCAGATGGGTGTTCACAATTGGCAGTGGTTGCGGGGTTGCCAAAAAGCTAGATTTTTGTTACTCATTTTCATTGAATTCAAATGTCACCATTTGCTGGGACTTGAACCCATGTCCCCAGAACGTTATAAAAACAGCAACTGTGCTGGAGGAACTCAACAGGTCCAGCTGTGGAATGAAGAAAAGGCATATCAGACTTGAAATGTTACCTCAGTTTTACTGTCTGCAGATTCTGTCAGACCTACTGATTTTCTCCAGTGCTTTCTGTTTATATTTTAGATTTCCAGCATCTTCCTGTTTTCCTTTCAACCCCGGAGAATTAGTCTGGATGTTGATTAGCTCAGTTGGCTGGACGACTGGTTTGTGATGCAGAGTGACACCAACAATATGTGTTCAATTCCCCTCACCGGCTGAGGTTACCATGAAGGACTCTCCTGCTCAACCTCTCCCCTTGCCTGAGGCATGGTGTCCCTCAGGTTAACCAACCAGTCATCAGTGTGTGTGTGCCAGTCTGTCTGTCTCTGTCTCTGTCTCTCTCTCTCTCTCTCTCTCCCTCTGTGTCTCTCTGCCTGCTGTGTGTGTGTATCTATCTGTATCTTTCTCTCTCTGTGGCCCTCTCTGTCTGGCTGTGGGTATGTCTCTCACTCTCTCTCTGTCAGTCTCTGTGTCTGTCTGTCTCTCGCGCTCGCTGTGTGTGTCTCTCTCTCTCTCTGGTTCAGTAGGGCTTTGTGGCTTTGAAACAAAAACAGAAATTGCTGGGGAAACTTGGCAGGTCTGGCAGCATCTGTGGAGAGAAAACAGAGTTAATGTTTTGGGTCCAATGACCTTTCATCAGAAACTATGGTGACTTTACCTTTTTGTCTTTAGTCTGGAACAATGGATTACCTCGTCCAGTAACATGACCACAATCCCACCACCTCCCTATTTGGTAGTAATCTGACAGATCCTAAAGAGGAGAGAGGTTGCGCACACTTTCTCTCCCTCTCCCTGTCTCCCTCCCGGTCTGTCTCCCTCCCGGTCTGTCTATCTGTCTCCCTCTCTCCCTCTCTCCATGTCTCTATGTCCCCCTCTCCCTGTCTCTCTGTCTGTCTGTCTCTCTCTCTCTTTCATGCTAATATATTCCCAGATACAAACCATTATTTTTCATTCCACTGCAGTAAAGGGAAGATACAAATGCGGTTTGATTAGTTGGAGTTCTCTTGGCCTTGGGCAACGTTACCCTTGCTCTCACATAGATCTTTGTTCTCCGCTTAATCATTCTTTGATTCCATTGTGCTCCAGTATTAAATACAGAATGATGGATTGCACATGAGTGATTACAAGGCGTTAATCTAATCGAGCACTTCAGTGAGCCCCTGTACACAACAGCAAATATCTTAAAGTAAAAGCAAAGCATTAATTGAATAGAATGGGTTGAGGTGATCAAAACTGTGGGAGAGAAGCTGCAGCAGTCCCTGTGATCAAATTCTTACAGAAGGCAAATTTAGGATAATGCAAAATAAGCTGGGAAGAGGAAGTTGTGGCTTAAAATTGCACTGAAGACACTTTTTTCTCTAAAGCAATCGCATTTCTGGGATTATATTTGTGTGACCAAGCCTTGTACTAATTAATCTTTCAACAACAAATCTCCTTGCTTTGCTCCCAATGAACCAGGTGCCTTTTATGATAATAATTTATAATGTTCAGAAATGGCATACCAGAGGAAGGAACTGATACTGTTGCAGCAGACACCTTTTATATCTGTAATGCATTAAAATCCTGAATGTCCTTCCTGTTCACTTTTGTTGTCACATCTCTGTGATACTTGTGCCTGGAAAATGCCTACAAGCTACCAGGATTGTATAAACACTTCAATAGAATCCTTACAGTGTGGAAGCAGGCCACTCAGCCCATTGAGTCCACACCGACCCTCTGAACAGCATCCCACCCAGACCCCCTTCCCTATCCCTGTAACCCTGCATTTCCCATGTCTAATCCACCCAGCCTGCACATCCTTAGTGTCTATGGGCAATTTAGCATGGCCAATCCATCTAACCTGCACATCTTTGGACTGTGGGAGGAAACCAGAGCACCCGGAGGAAACCCACACAGACACTGGGAGAATGTGCCAACTCCACACAGACAGTCACCCGAGGGTGGAATCGAACCTGGGTCCCTGGCATTGAGGCAGCAGTGCTAACCACTGAGCCACTGTGTCACCCAAATTGAAGCAGGAGTAGGCCATTCAACCCCTCGAGCCCCACCTTGTCATTCAACAGGATCATGGTTGATCTGCCCCAGGCCTTAGCTCCTGTTTCATGCCAGCTCATCGTAGCTGCAGATATTTCAAAAAATCAATCTACCTCCTCTTTAATTAATTACTTAATCAACAGAATTTTTTTGGGAAAAAAAATTGAGTGTCATCTTATAATAAGTTTGCCTTTGCCATTTTAAATGGATGCCCAAGAAATTTCAGGCACAAAATCAATCTGGAAGAGACTAATCACGGACATTTTTTTAAAATCTCCATCCTTCCATCCATTATTCCATCCATCCATTATTCCATCCATCCATCCATCCAACATCCAGGTTAAATAACTGGAGGATTTGAGATTCCTGAGCTGCGCGGAGCTGAAGAAATATGATAGGAGGAAAAGTGACATGAATGCAGCACATGATGGAGAGAGAATCTAGAGGATGAGACTGAGAGGGAATTGAGGGCTTGCTGTAAGCAGTGTCACAGAATGCATTTACTTGCAGTGAAGCTTCAAGATCCCTGTGCCATATTTTGTCTGTTAACAGGTCTGCCCTGTTGTTTGTGTTTTGAAAGAAGTGAATATTTGTCCCTACTGGCATTCAGTGAATCAGAGGCTGGGTGAGCCATTATGACAGGATTTTGTAGCAAATGACAAGAATCCAATCAAATAGCAGACTAAATAGTGACTTTGTGAATTGCAGGCAACAGAACCCATGTCCTCCCAATCAAAGTCTACCGATTAAAGCAGGATTATTTTTCTGACGCAATGCAGTGAGTGGAGTATAGTTACAATAGAAATGATCAGTAAAATCAATCCAGAATTGTGCAACATGTATCTCTACCAATGATTGTTGGGAATAGGGGAATTATCCAAGCATTTATATTCTCATGGGACTTTGGTCACTGTAATTGCAGCAATTTTAAAAACGCAAAAGCATGGTAGGAAATTATTTCCCCTTTTTATCTGTCTTTCTATCCCCCCTGACCCAGTATCGGAGATTTAAAAGCAGGCACTAATCTGCTAATGTCTCTTTCCAACAGCAATTCTTCTCTAATTGTCCCTGGTCTAACCTTCTCGAGGCGTTAAAAATTATTTACAGAGTCTGTTGAGGTAAGGAAAACATTAATTTTATTTAATAAACATGATGCGGAGGCTTAATCTTGGCGTGAAGCTGCATGGGAGAGCAAGATTGTGACATTGCTTCACTTTCTGTAGGATGTGACTATATTAACATATCACTCAGTCAGACTTAGTGATAGTAGGAACTGCAGATGCTGGAGAATCTGAGCTAACAAGGTGTAGAGCTGGATGAACACAGCAGGCCAAGCAGCATCAGAGGAGCAGGAAGGCTGAC